ATACATTTGGTAGACTGCCTTCTCTTTTTTTAGAGGAAATAGTAGAATTAGGTTTTAGATTAGTGTTCTCATTTGAGGTTTCAGCTACAGGCTCTTTTTTGGTAAGATTCTCTGAATTTTTTATCTGAAGAGCTGCTTCTTTGACGACACTTGACGAACCGTTAGGATTTTTTGGAAAGATAGAATGGTTAAGAATAGTTTTATAGTCCGCACTGTTTTCCAACCCAATAACATCTGATGGTTCAGTAAGTTTCTTTAACACTTCAGTATAAACCATGTTCACCATGTCTGTACAGGGAAACATTGCAGAAATCAATGAAGAGTCGTGAATATGACTTTCTGATTTTATTATCTTCATTATTGTAGTAAGATTTTCAGAGGATGTCAAGAGCTCGATGATTTTCTCAGAACAATTGATAATTAGATCATTGGACCAGCAACTTGTTTTATTTAAAAACGACTCAGTCACAAATCTTACATATGTCTCAACATCTTGTAAGAGATTTACAAAGGATTTTTCACACTGTTCTTGTATTGATTTTATCTTGTAGACACTTGCAAAATGATATAAGTTCGATATTTGACCAAGACAAATATTTACTGTTCCACCATGTAGAAAAAGCAATGATTGATGAAGCATATCCTCAGCACCAGAGAATTGCAAACTTTCATGTAAAGTAATTTCTTCTGCCCCTGAATATATCATATCTTCGAAAACCGAGCTATGAAGCACAAGAAGGAGTGAGTTTACTAAAAATTTGGACTGATTTATCTTGATACACACTATATGAGGAAGATCGAAAGATTTGAAGAACCTAACAATATTCTTTTGACCTGGTAATGATATTGAGTCCGTATTTATGTCCATTCTTCACGTCTGTTTGATCACTCAGTGCTACAGAATAGTTTGAAATAATATATCGTAAATGGTATAATCGATAAGTATGATCAATAAAGTTAATTTTATGCTAATTCAGAAGTTTTCATACCTTCTTACGACTATTCACTTCAGGTAAAGAACACTAAACTAACGAAGTAAATAACAATCAAAGGAATGTTTGTGTGTTTTTAAACAATTGTAGATTGTTATAGCTTATAAACGTGAAAGGTAGGAATATGAATATCAGTGCATAAATATTATTAGATGAGTTTGCTTTGTAATGAAACAAAGAGTCTTATAAAAAATGTAAAAAAATTAAAATTGAATGATTAATTGTCTATATTCGTTGAAATGTAGATAAAATATAGATAAATAACGTTATCCAATTATGTTATTAGATTTTAATTTAAAATAAAATAAATTTAAATTTGAGGTCTGACCACTTCAATTTGAAGACAACATAAAATACGGGCATTGAATTGTGTTAAATATAAAGCTGCCCACCACACAGAGTAGAAAGAGATCTGTCTACATGATGCTTACTTCACCGTAGATGTAATATTATTTATATATACCTCGATTAAGACAAAGTATTTAATAAGGTGGACCACAACATACTATTTGCAAAAGCAAAACATTGCGGAATTCATAGAAGCATGCTACAGTGGTTAAGTTAATTCCTAACAAACTGCCTCCAGATAGTGGTCTTTGAAGGAACTAAGTCATCCTTCCAGTTGGTGATAAGTGGAGTGCCAAAAGGTACAGTGTTGGTACCAATTCATACTCTACATCGTTAACCAATTGGTCATGCAACTGCTTACCTCTCTTGGAAAGATATTTGGTGTTGACGCCAAATTTATTGGCAAGATATTGGACCTGGCCACCAAAGCATCTTAACAAGAAGACCTATGCATGTTTCTATGAATTTAAAAAAAATTATTTATTAACTTTTGTTTTATTATTCAGTCTTCAGTCATGTCATTGCCTGGGCTGGAAGAACCAAAATGCAGCTCAATGAAGCTAAAATTGAGATCCTCAACTATATGCTCAATAATTTGATTCTGCTACAAAATCTGCTATTTACAAATGATCTGCTCAGTTACAGTCTTACAACAGGTCAAGTAATTGAGCCAGCAGAAACTGTCAGGGACTTGGGGTTGGCGGGCCCTTCGTTACGCCACTGCTGGGGCCCTCGTCGGCGGGCCCTTTGTTACGCCACTGCTGGGAACGTCTCACGAAACTCAATATCATATCATTTGAGAGACGTGGAGAAAGGTGCATCCCCTGACATGGAATAAAAGTACAGTACTAAACAACAAATCACAGTGCTCTGTGGCAACACACTATGAAAACTCATTTGGAGTGAAAGTGGCACAGCTGTGGAATCTTCTTCCCAAAGAAATAAATTCCATCTCTAATTTGGACCTGTTAAAATCGTCACTGGCTAGATTCCTTAAAGAATTCCCTGACACGCCCCCTACTAAAGAATACACTGCTACTAACAACAATTCACTCTTGGAATGGTACTTACAGTGATAGAAGGACGTACTTGATACTGTTGTCCTGAAGCAATCCCAGCCAAACCTACCCAAAGTGTTCAAAGTAAATAGTATACAGGCTCTAAAAAATACAGAACTGCAATGCAGATGTCTTCAATTTCTTCTCAAAGAATTGGTCCAATAATAATAATAATAATTCTGTACAGTTACATAATTGAAACAATTATGGCCCCTTATTGTGGGCAGAGTATGTGTCTTTATTGAATTGTCCTGATATAAACTTATCTGAGTGATGCATTAAAATAATTTAAGGTGAGTTCTCTTAAAACTTTAAGACAATAGGAATAAATACTAGGACCTAATAAAATGAAAACAAAATGCAGCCATCTAATTTGTTGTTGAGCTTTCTCTTCTCCTACGGTTGACTAGAGGAACCATCTTTGGCGAGTATTAGGAACTTAGACCATTACAAATACCGTGCTGTAAGTTTGCAAGGCATGTGGACTAAGTGGGTCGAAAACAAATTTTAGGAAAACAAATTTAAATTTTGGTATTTATTAATAACAATCAAAACATATCATATCATAAAAATAAAGCCGCGCGTTGGTTGACTGCCTCAGTAAGGTGAATAATTTAAGCTTGAAGGTGCCCTGCGCATTTACAGAACCTTATGCGGCGATCACATATTCATGACGACCTGTGAGCGCCAAATTTAATTTAAAGATTCTAGAAATCATACATCACTACGAGTTACTCATGCTTTTGAGTTTTGGATTATAAGAGTGCGGATTGTCAGGTATTTCATTCATTCATACTTAATCGGTTTAAAGCTGTATATTTAGAACTCACTATTGTTTAAACTACGAAAGCAGAACGTAGATAATGGACAACGAAATAATGGACTTGAAAGTGGGTGTTGAGAATCCTCAACTATACTAAAGATTGGTTCAAAGTAACTAAATTTGCCTGTGTCTCTGGAGGCTCACATGATGATGAGAGGTGAAACCTTTATATACCCAAATCTAGAACACATAAAAGCTTTTAGTATTTGGGAGCAAAATGTTGGAATTCAATCCCAGTGAACATAAGAAATATAGATGTATAAAATTCTCGTTCATGTTGGATGTAATTTTTTAAAAAATTATTCGAACAATATACACATAATTGTCACAATGACCCAACAGTAAAGAAATCACTGTTGATGTAATTGATGGTGTCTCATCATATGGAATAAAAAATAACTTTGACTATTTGTACACTCCAGCTCTGTAATAACAATAAAGTGTTTTGGTGTCTTTGCTAGGATAGCAAGGTCCCCTTACCTGTGTATACATGCATTTCTTAAAATATCGAAACACAAAACAAGTGATTATAAATTTATTTAAGAATTTTATGACATCATTAAGTTAGGCAAGCAAGTGTAAAACGGTCACTATTAGATTTTGACCATTCTGTGTACATTTGTAGATGCTTATTTCGATTTTAATGATAAGTATTTAAAGTTAAGGTGCACAAATTTGTACTTCAAATCTTTATATTCGGCAAAACAAAATTTAAATTCTATTGCCATATTACAATGATTAATAATATCATAATAAAAATAGTTAAACTTTAACATATTATCTTCACGATTACTATAAAACCAAAACTAACTCGAATCCTAAAGCATAAACAGTTCAAATATCCTTTTACAAACCTTTCACCTGCGCGCGTCCGAAAAAATGGTTATTTTCTCACAACTCGTCAAGAAATGATTTTCATGCATGCTACGTAATAATTTTATTCGAAATCATTGCAAAAATATATTGATATAGCTTACTTTTTAAATCCTACAGCTTAATATTCATACAACAAAAAAGTATAAGCATGTACACAAAACAGTCGAAATCTAATTGCCACCCTGTAAAACAACTTAGCGTGCTTGCAGTTTTGTCAATTAAACCAGCTGAAAATGCCAACTTGTTCTACATTCTAGCTTGTAAAGAAAGCAAGCATGACAATGCGCGCGACGCGTCGAAGCAGTGTTGTCTTCCAATCAAACCAGCAATACCAACAAAAATAACATGGTTAAATGGTTAAAAACGTAATAAATATATAAATAGTTCTAAACATAATATTGTTGTACAATAGTGTTTTAAAATTAATCCCGTGTAGACACCTGTTGCACGCTACGCACGAAAATATTTAATCTTGTTTGTGTTGCATTGGAGCTTGCTCAAACCAGAGCCCTTTCGCTTACAATAGCGCATGACCGCCAAAAACGGGCACAGGATATTACTTGTGAAATAAGCGCGTCACGCAGTACGTGTAGACTCATGGCTAGGTGAATGTTGACGCATTAAATGCTTGTTAGCAGTATGAAAATGATAAAACGTAAATATTCGTACAAAAAAAGATACAATTAATTTTAAAAATAGGTTGGGAGTGTTATAAAGTTGTTGTACTCTATAAGTGTATATTCACCTACAAGCATAACTGCTTGGCGTGATGAGGTACATCTTTGATTGGTCGAAGGTCTTTCAACAACACACCATCACCACTTTCATAGTAGTCCCCGGCTTATGACGGGTTCATAGCGGTATTAAACATGTTTTTCTGGGCCCAAACATTCTACGCTCCTACTATGCTATTACTGGTCTCTTGACTAACTCCCAATCATCTGTCCATATGGTATTGTTTCTGGACAAATAGATGGTATACGATGCCCTCAGGCTGATGTCAGCGATCTTCATGCAGGCCTTCTTCTTCTCTTTGTTGTTTACGTTCAGATGGTTCATAAAGGTTGGGAGGCTATAGTTGTAAATGCCTCGAGCTCCCACTTCTACTGTCTGGAGCTTGCAAGCCCATCCGTTGGCTTCTATCTCTTCTGTCAGCTGCTGATATCTCTTCATCTTTCGCTTCTCTTGATCAGCAAATTTCTGCTCATTTCCACAAGTCAGCTCCATTAGATAAACCTTCTTTGCTTTATCTGAATAGATCACTACATCAGGTCTTAGTGGTGTAGCTGCAATGTGCTGCGGGAAGTTCCTCTGTCTCTCATCCTCATCAAATATTATCTTCCAGTCGTTGGCATCTGAAAAGAAATATCTTTTGGTCTTATGATGAGTTGGGTCAGCTAAGGTAACCTTCTCGCGCTTATTGCCTGCCTTGTGAAAGACCGACGGTGCCCTCTTCGATTCCTTGGCGATGTCGGAATTAAACTCTTCAATCTGTGATGAAACAGTCTTCATGATTTCACGTAGGACCTGATCATGGCGCCAGTTGAAACGTCCCTGTCTTAGTGCAACCTTGCAGAACGTCAGGATATGATTGAGTGTCCCTTGTTTGCTGCAGAGTTTACAGTTTCCTGAAACGGCTTTATTCCAAAGCTTTAGGTTGCTAGGTGTTGACGCAGTGTCATGAATAGCATTGACATGAAACTTTAACAGTTCCGGACTAAGTTGATAGATCAAGTTATTCCATGTGGTGTCAAATGTCATTGTATTTTCCCATGTGAGAAAGAGGTTTTGCCGCTTTTTGTCAAAAAGTGAACAAATAAGTGTCTCTTCATCAAAGGTCCTCACCATGTTGGTTAGCAGTTTCCTCTCTGATGTGTCCTCATATCTTGTCCCATACCCGAGGCCAGTTGTACCAACTGCAGGTTTTCCAACTAACTCTTGGAAGTAAAGTTGGCGCTGACGGTCTTTCAGCTCTTTGGGATAAGACCACATCTTCTGTGTGTCTGCAATAGCCTTATGGTTAGAGTACACTTTTTTGATGTAGGGGTCACTTGAGTTACAAAGTTGGTGTCCCTTAATAAGTTGAATGACTTTGTACTCAGTGCAGATGTTTTTCAGCTGCAATCCTTTCTGGTCTCTACTCCTGTAGAGGACGGTGGTGGTACAAGGATGCGCAATTCCTAGCCACTTCTTAAGGTATCTGTTACACAGTGCCTCAAGCTCTCTCACAAATGTGATGGGTAGGTTATAGACAGTAAACCCCCATGACATCTTACTAATGATGAGGTTGTTATACACCCACGCCTTCATTGGACCGGTGATTTCATCATTAGACGTTGTTTCCAAAAGGTCCTCTAACTTCTTCTTAATCATGGACCGAATTTCCTTTACCTCAAGATCTACATACATGTACATTCCTAGGAACTTCATTGGTGCTTGGATAATGGACGGCACCTGTTGTTCGCTTAGTACAAACTCTGCATCATAGGTATTGTACTTTCCTCCAGTACACTTCATAGACATAGACAGGCACTTCGATGGTTTAGCCTTCATTTTCTTCGACCAGTCCAGGAACTCTTCTACTACCTTCAACATCTTCTTCATCTCCTTCTCGCTCTTCGACAACAGGGTTAGGTCATCAGCAAATGCTTTCTTTGAGGTCTTGCTATCACTGAAGCTTGGCTCATACCCAACTTGACTGCACAGTACAGCTAGAAGTTCCAGTAGGATGTTGAATACTATAAGGAACAGGATCACGGACAGTGGGTCTCCCTGGAACAGGCCTAGCTCATACCAGAATGTTCTGGATGTCCATTTCCTGCACTTAACTAGGACATATATTATATATATTTAATATAAAAAACCAAAATTTTGTGGACTGACATAAATTTAAATTTAAAGTTTTTTAGCCAATGCTGTGGATGTCAACTGTAAAAGTGAGGTATGCTTTTTGTAGAGATATTAAAGATTATTACATTTCATTTCTCTGTATCAAGAAAAAGGTTGATGGACGATGAGTGATTCATACCTACTGACACCTACAACCAGAGGGACCCCAATAAACGTTAGTCAACTGTGACGGACGTAGCCTCCCAATAGGGAGGTAAAATGGGTGCCCCAACATTAAAAAAAATCACAGTGAAACAATTTTAAATGACGATTAACATTTTTGATATTTTACCTTATAATTGACACCCAGAATACATATTTTTGATTTTTCTGAACTTATATATATTTTAAATATCGAACACCAATTGCACTATTTGAACTTTTCTGTTTGTCTAAAAGACCCGTCAAAGAAACTCTTTTTATAACAACCATGCCCTCAAACAGTGTCGTTTACAAATCTAGTTGCCTTTGGAATTCATTCCGTCAGATGTTGGCACTGAACGACCTTGAAATCACTCATGGTGTATTCAAATCAAAGGTAAAAAAAGTCATTCTCTCGTCTCAGGGTAAAGGTGACAAGAATACCTGGCCCCTTTGGCAAACTTTCTGAACTCAGGCAGCTTGAACGACTAAATTTGAAAAAGTAAAACTTCTTGTCTGAATGAACTATTAGAACCTCAAGAAGCTGATCTGCATGTCTCCGCTACTAAAATGTTTAATGAGCTCAATCACTCATCACTTAACAGTTTAATCTTCAAAGAAATTAGCGGAAAAACTTTCTAGGAAATCAGGCCAACGATATAGTTGATCCCTACATAAAAGAACTTCAATGGCTCAAGGTACAAGAACGTATTGAATTTAAAATACTCCTGTTAACTTTCAAACTGCTCCATGGGCTTGCACCTTCATACCTGTCAAACCTTGTTAAGTACAATTCCAGTGGTGGAAGAGATGTGTCTCTTCATTGCCCCATAAACAGTCCACCCAGAGCCTTCTCTTCATCTGCTCCAAGATTATGGAACAATCTTCCTCAAGAAATCACAAAATGTGTAAACATCAAGGACTTTAAGGGAAAACTTAAAGCTCACCTGTTTAGAAAGTCCTTTGATTTTTACTGAGTAACTAATCCTTTATTGAAGGTTAAGATTTAATTAAAATGTTTATCTTATAGCAGGTCAATTTCACGCTTTAAATTAAATTATTTTAGGCTGTTAGTTTTCAAGGATTTTTGGGCAACATTTAAGATAATAATCTTTTTTTTTTGCGTTTCACTGTGTCTGCCAACAAAATTGTAGTGTAGGTCGGAAAAGGAGGCTCTATCCTGGGACACCAACATTTTTTGGGTTGGCACCCGGGAGAAAGCTACCTTATTCTTTGTATTTTGTCTCAAGTACTAGAGCATCTTTTCTTCTCTTTTTTACTGTCTCTACTTTTATGTTGCCCAGATTGTTTGGTATGACTGTATTGGATTTTCAGATATAATCTTTATCATCAGTTACTGTTCTGCAGTAAACTTCTTCAATCAATTTTTATTGTATATTGGAAACTTCAGATTGTTTGTATATTTGGAGTCTATAGAATTTCTATGGATTTTTTAAGGAATTTTTATTGAGTTTTTATAGAATTTTTAATATATCAGGGAATTTCATTTTTATAAACCTGATTTTTAAATTTGTTAGGCTGTTGAGTTTCATACTGCGATTTCTGTTAGAAAACCTGCTAACCCTTCTTGGATATCTGCTTGTTAGGTGCATCTGCCTTATTTAGTCACGTTATATTTTACAGTTTTTATCTCCTGTTTTCTGAACAGTTTCTTGTTCCACCTCCGTCTAAGGCAAAGATGCACACTCTCGTTAATTTAAGTATCTTTTACAGCTGTGCATAAGGGTTAAATTTAAATTATTTAACCTTTTGGTGCTGTATAAAAATAACATTAATTTATTATTATATCGGGTCTCAATAAGAGGTCTCGACTGCCTAGGCATCAAACCTTGGCAATCGGTAATTTTCCTCTGGCCCGGAGTCAGCTGACCCTAGGGACCAGAGGATAAAGGCGTAGAGACTGTGTGTATCTACAAAAGTGGTTGTTTTTACAAGAGACAGGGCTTGCAACGCAAGGGAAGAAAAACGGGAGAAACAAACACAAAATGCATATTAAATGACTTAGAAATTCAAACAATCCTACACTACAATAAATGTTTATTACATAATTATAATATGTTGTATAAACAAGAAACAGGGCTTGCAGGGCAAGAGATGGGACACATAAGAGCTGGCCACAGAGTGTATAATACAGTAATTCAGCAAACACCTATTACTAATACTGAAAACTGAATCACAAATTATCACAATAATTACAAGAATATATGAAATACTAAACACAATTTTTATACAAGAAACAGGGCTTGCAGAGCAAGGGAAGAAAAACAAGAGAAATAACTGTAACAATTGTATATCACAAAGTCCAGACGAAAATAATCTTTGCACAAATCTGGGAGTAAATTCAATACAGTACTTAATAAATACAATAACTTTCCGATATGTACATTGATATGAGTTAAAAGTTGTATAAACAAGAGACAGGGCTTGCGGAGCAAGGGAAGAGATAAAAGAGGACCAGGCAAAAAGTATATATTACAGTTATACAGAATAAACTAAAACTGAAAGAAGTGTGTATTAAACACTCAATTAGATGTCTAAGACCATCCTGAGAATTCTGGCTGATCCAAGCAGAGCTGTCTTCTGAAGATTAGAGATGCTCAGATTGCAGTGGACTGCATCGAGGTGCTTACGAAAGTTTATGGTGACAGTTCCTAAAGCGCCTACCACCACTGGGACAATTGTAACCTTTCGTAAATTCCAGTTCTTCTTAATCTCTCTTTTTAGGTCTTGATAAGCTAGTATCTTATCTTGCTCTCTATCCAAGATCCGGGTATCTCCTGGGACTGCAACGTCGATGATGGTTGCTGCGTTGGTTACCTTGTCTACCAGGAGAAGATCCGGTCTGCAGTGCTCAATAACGTGGTCTGACTGGATGTGAAAGTCCCACAATAGCTTGACTTTTTCGTTCTCCAACACCTTCTCTGCTCGGTGTTCGTACCACTTTTTACTGCGTGGGAAGCCGTATTCCTTGCACAGACTCCAGTGTAATGCGGCAGCTACTTTGTCATGCCGACACTTATATTCTGTCTGTGAAAGTTTTGGGCACCCATTCAGTATGTGATCTATTGTCTCATAATGATTTCTGCAGAGTCTGCAGAGTGGAGAAGAGCCAGGTGTTTTGTCAATCTTATTCTTTACATAGTTAGTCCTAAGTGCTTGGTCTTGGGCTGCTATCAACAATCCTTCTGTCTCCTTCTTCAAGTCTTGTTGAGTGAGCCAGTTCCAAGAGGTTATCGGATCTGCTATACCCGTCATCTGCCTTGGAAACTGTCCGTGCATCACTTTAGTAGTCCACTTCTCCTTGCGTATTTCCTCGCGTTGTGTTCGGTCAGTATCTTTGTCTATCTCTTCACCTAAGAGTATCTTGTCTTTGACAAAGTAGTCCTTCAGAGCAATCAGTTCCGGGTCTCTACTCTTCATCACATAGGTGGTGAGTGCATTCTCCTCTCTCTTTACGACTTCCTCTATACTATGAAGCCCACGGCCACCAAGTTGACGGCTGACGTATAGCCGATCAACATCTCCTTGGGGATGATGAGCTCCATTTATCCTCATTAGTGTTCGGGTCTTGACGTCCAAGGCTTTGATTTCTCCAGCGTTCCAAGAAAGAATTCCAGCTCCATATCTTATCATTATTATTATTATTATTATAGTGAGGCAATGACATTTATTAGGAAGAGAGTAAGATTTGACCTTTTGAGAACAGGACCAGGATAGAAATGGTCAGGCAATTCTGTATCGGTACCAAATGGTATAAATCAAATCAAATCATGGTAACACTTCACCTCTGAACCGGAATGGTTTTTGTATTCCTATTTAATAAAACTAAAGTGCCACGAACTTTGGGGGGAAAGCTAAAACCTGCGGTATATGGGGGTTTTGGTTTTTAGGGTCCCAAATTGGTCTAAAATGGGTGGATAAGGCCTCAAATCTTGACTTACTTACTTTTTTTTGATATTTGCACGTATGAACTTAGAAATTTAATGATATTCAACTTTTAGAAATTAAACTTAATTCTTGCTGCACAGTGCCTTTGCATATAATAATAAGTCAGCTGACTCCGGGCCAGAGAAAAATTACCGATTGCCAAGGTTTGATGCCTAGGCAGTCGAGACCTCTTATTGAGACCCGATATAATAATAATAACTAGAAATTTATGCAGTGCTTTATAGCTAAAAAGAACTCAAAATCCAAAGATTCAGTTCAAGCCATCAAAAGCGACTCATGAACATGTACATAAAAACTTAGAATTTTATGAAGTATGGTTTTTATGAGAAAGATATTATATAATACTTAATATGAACACCTCTTCTTGAAAGGGATGAGTCTTTAGTCTTGCGTTTGTTGATATAGTCTGGACTCTGTCGCATGTTGTTGACGCATTAGAACACTGTTAAAGCAATTGTATAATCTATTCGTTGTCTTATTGGAACAAAATTGGCCTTTTTCAGGAATAGAGTGACAAGTTGTTCCATTTTTTTAATAGCTTTTCCACCAAACAAGAATCATACACAGGAATTTTGTACCATCTGGAGTATCTTTATGAGAAAATCAGGTAAATCATGTAAAAGTCCATTGCAATAGTTTTGAAAAGATGAAACAGCGGATGAGCTATCTTTTTAGGTCATAGTTAAGTTTTGAGCCTATAACTCGAAGGTTCCTGAAATTGATGTTGTAACAACTAATAAGTGAATTGATTTTCAAATGTAAGGAATTGATCAGTTAAACAAAAAATTCAGTTAAACAAAAACTGGACATGAAGAGTAACTGTTCTTTGTCTGTACTACAAAAGCTTATGATTTGTTTTCGTTTACTTTGAGTTTATTTTGGGTCATCCAGCTCTTAATATCTTGAAATGAATGTGTTATTCTCTCTTCGATTGTTGACAGATCTCGAAATAGTAGGTTAAACTCTATGTAAAGTTGGGTGTTATCTGCATACATGTGTCATAGCGAAGTACTGTCAAGCATGAGAGGAGTTCAGGGTTAATATGAGAACATGAACTAACAAGCACACCTTGAACTGAGCTTATGAGCATCCTCACTGGCTAATATTATATTACGGCCAGGGTATCAAGTCAATTAAGTCCACTATATCTTAGGGATAATCATCCTCCTCTATTCAGTATTCCTCTAAACGTGAACGTCTAAGTGAGATGTGATTCAAATGCTGAACACTTTGCATTGAAATCAGATGACAAACAGTATGCGACATCTAAAAGAAATAATCAGACCGATAAGTGTACAGATAATTGTACACTGTACAGGGACCTGTACGGTAAATCAGGGTTTGCAGTAAACTGGGTTTGCGGTAAATTGGGCGCAGTAAATCGGGGTTTTGCTGTAATAATTATATATATATTCTAGCTCAGTCCCATTCATTCCACATTCCCTCCTTCAATTCTCTAAATAATTATAGAATTATTAGGTATGGCACAAGGTCTGAAGAAACACGGAAAAAGTCAGTCAATCAAGAAGAAGAAAAAGCCTGCTATTCAGAAGGTCAAAAAAGGAGCTAGGACTTTTGCTCCAAAAAAGAATGCAAGACTTCTAGAACATGCAGTGAAAAAGCAGATTGAGAAAGGAATAAATACCAATATTGAAGAAGCACTAAATAAAGCAATGGTTAACGATAACCATAAATTCAAAGTGGTCAAAAAGGCTTTGGGCGAAGAATCAAAGAAATCTGTAACTTCCAAAAAATAAATTTTAGGCTGCTTACTATTTATTTGAAATTGGGGCTGTTTTGTAGGGTTGATGTTAACCTATTTATTCGATAAGTTAGCTATTAATTCTACACAATTTTTATGTGAATGGTAAATTCATTTCAAGTTGCTGTTGTTATGTGCATTTTTATCAAATTTTTATCAAATATGATTCAACAGCTTCCACTAGAAGACTGCTTCAGTTCTCATTCCAGTAATTTTAAGGTTTCTGTGCCTTTATTTATGGTATTTACAGTTGTTGGAAAAGTTCAATATAGCCAATTTTTCTAACAAGCTAGAACATATTATACTGTATTTATTGTTTTCAGTTGCAGGATTACTTGTCTAATTTATTTTCTTTCAAGATTCGTACAATTTCTCTTCCAGCTTGAATAAAAAATCTTGGTCCATTGTATGGATATCTTCAAATTCAAAATTATCTGTTCTAAATGATGAAAGATTTTCAAGTTAGTAGTTTGTAATGTTTTTGCCAAGTTAACCTACCTTCTTCAGGACAATCAGGTTTGGACCTGTATGTAGAAATTGCAGTAATTCTAACGAAGATGCACCAAGTAAATAGAACTGATTCAAGTTCAACCAACCAGTTACTGCCTCTTTATCTTGACAAGTTTGTTGCACAAATTATCAGATCCTTTGGGTGGCAGGCTGTTGCTCCTGAATGCTTGTCTTTGCTCACTGATTTAGCAAAAGATCTGATTCTCAAGATTGGAACTAAAGCATCAGTCTTCGCTCATCATGCTGGAAGAGCCACACCCTCCTTCTACGATGTGCAGTGCAGTATTTCTGAGTGTGGAATTGACGTTAGGAATATTCACCTCACCAGAACACTACCAAGGGTGCCTAGTGTGGTGAATAAACCACCTGAAAAACCACCCACTATTTTGAAGATAACAAAACCTCTACCACAGCCCTCCTATATACCAGATCATTTGAACCACGATTTTCCTCAGCCACACACCTACATAAAGACACCAACTTACTCAATGCCAGTTTCATCTTACTCAAGTTTGCGGGAGGCTCGGGCCCGGCAGAGAAATGAAGTGTTGAACAGTTTGAGCAGACAAGTTGTAAACTCCTGCACTTCTATTCAGCTCATACCCGGTCTAGAGGACTGTGCTTGGGCCACTCCTGAAACTATAGACTCTTTAGACTACCTCATCACTCATCAGGACGATTTCAAAATGAAGAAGAAAAAACGTAGAGTTCAGTCTAACAATATATACCTCCAGCCTCCTAAATGCTCGTGGGCTGGGTTATTTACCTCTTGAACACCGAGCATAATTTCTGTGAATTTTACAGTGTTTCATATAAAGCCTTAGTGCTAGATATGGTATAATTAAATGTTGTCAAACATGTGTCACTTAGATTGGTAAATGTATTAGACGTTACCGCATTGTGTATTGACGTATTGACCAATCTTAAATCTGCAAAGCATTCTTCATTTTGGCTTTCTCTATTTATAGCATTATAACATTATATTATTTCTCTATTAATAAAGTAGTTGTGATTTGCAACATGAGGATTGCAGACGATCAAATCTTAAAGAACTCGAATTGTTGATGAGACTATTTACCGTATATTAACTCATAACTGCAAAATTTAAATAGTTTAAATCAATCCTCGAGAGAGACAGTTGAGGAAAACTGTTGGAATGTTGAGTATGATTTCTACTCGATTATATTTATCATAATATTATTGACATTATAACATCCCAGCAGTTGACCACAATTGATACCTCCTGCAGCTTTTAGTAATCAGTATATTATTTCCTTGTAGTTCAAACACACACAGTGTCACGCCGAACATTTTGTCGTCCTGCCTAAATAAGTATTTATTTGATAGTGTCTATTGCATCCTTTCCAATTATGTAGTTTAAATTTTGATGGAGTTTTAAAGCTTATATAGCATAATGTGCTATTGCTGTTTTGCTTTCCCAAAAAAGAGAGAAATTCCACTCTTGAGGCTAGCCGGACCTTATTTAAAAAGGTTAAAATATATTTATTTCATAATAACATGGTTACCTCAATATTACTTAAACTAAATGTTTCCAACATGAATCTTTATAAAGTCAAGAGATAGTTTCTCCACCAGTCAGACAAACTTTTCTCTTATTTCTCTAATTATGTATTGGCCCACCGTATTATTTGTAAAATATGCATATAGCCATAGAAACGACCGTCACTATTCTTTGTAACCATGCTCCTGTTCAGGTAATGATCTTGTGTCAGTTTTATAGATGTTGACGGAGGTCAGGGATGCGAAATGCTAACTCAGTTTCAGGAATCTCTTCAAAGCCCGATCCAAAGGTATGCAATTGTAAATTATATTTTACAAGTTAATGTTATTTGTAAATGCTCAAGATCGATATTCTACTTTTATAGAAATGGTATGAGTTTCTAAGATCGACTAAATAGCGTAATGTTGCGCGAATATATTTAGTGATCTGTGCGCTTTCAACTTTTAATTATATAGCTTACTGTGCTTCACAGTTTAAACTCTACCAAATATTGTACGATCAGAATTGAAAATAATTCCTTTCTCGGACTAGTAGAGGCAAACAATGTAATTAATTGCATTAAATTCAGTAATGGTTCTAATTGGGTGGCAGGGTTATTATAATCGTCTCACATGAAATTTGATACGTGCAATTAGGCTGAAGTGAGCGTTTAACGAAATTGGAACACTAATAACATTTGAGGGCCAATGGAATATTAATGCAATAATTGTACCTTTATATAGGCCCTTTCTCTTCAGACATATCCTCTCTCGTCGAGTGGCCTAAAATCTGTAGCTTCCAACTTATTTGCGAACATTTGGTTCTTTTTAAGGTTAAATGACTCGCGGGGCCAAACTAGGCTATATGTAAGGTGTTGAATTTAAATATTCCAGTCGATTAGTCTTCAATATTGACCTAGATTAGTAGATTTATGCTATGCTTTCCACGATTTATATAATTTCCGTGTTCGCAATTAAATGATGTATCATCTAAATAATTAGAGATTTGTAGATCATACCTATTTCTCGGAAATGATTTATTGAAATCCTGTTAATCCTCAGAATACGTCATTAGTTCAGTAGAATGTGCAATAGTTACCTTGTTTGGTTGAAGTGTAATTTTAGTGATTCATTTTAAGAGTTTGCAGAGCTTGCACTCACCAAGTTTAAAATGCAACATGATGGTTTCAATGATATTAAATTTCTTTAAAAAAATGATAGTTGGTGACGAAGTGACAGTCTCCACTCAGTGTTTCAAAACAAATTAGTTGACGACGTTTCGGCAACATGCCTTTGTCACGGACAGGACGTTACAATAACTTACATAGCTGCAATTTACAATGTAAAAATAATCTATCAATACCATGAAATATTACAAAATTTCGTTACAAAAATCTATACAATCAACAAGCATTAACGTGAAATAACTACAAATTTATAACAGAAAATCTATACAATTCAAATATAACTGGCAATATCATGAAATAACAATAACAAATTTAAAAGAAACAAAAATAGAGCTACATTTTCTTTTAAAATTCGTAATTGTTATTTCATGATATTGCCAGTTATATTTGAATTGTATAGATTTTCTGCAATAAATTTGTAGTTGATTGTTTAGATTTTTGTAAAAAATGTTTGTAATATTTCATGGTATTGATAGATTATTTTAACATTGTAAATTGCAGCTATGTAAGTTATTGTAACGTCCTGTCCGTGACAAAGGCATGTTGCCGAAACGTCGACAACTAACTTGTTTTGAAACACTGATTGGAGACTCTCACTTCGTCACCAACTATCATCAAAATATATGATCGACCCACTCATAAGAGCGAAGAAAGATTACCGATATTAAATTTCATAAGAAGTTCACAATAGAGGAATTTGAATAAAACTCAGCGCTTTTTTCGTTATCAACAAAATTAAAGATATTCGGCTCTTTTACATGCAATGGTAATTATTTTTAATCACATATCACCGCATTTTATGGCGATGAATGTCTAAAAGTTGCTACAAAACGTATTCTAAACGTCCTCTTTGTCAGACGTATAGGAGGGGGGGGGGGGGGGGCCAATGGCATAAATGGAGAAAATGGAGAATTACTCATAGGTTTTTCCATTTTCTCCATAGAAATAGTCTCCATTTTATGCCATTTTATGCCATTTTATGCCATTGAAAACCTGAAAAATTTAGAATTTCGAGAAAAATTATTAAAAAAAAAGATATTTTCGGCCAATGATGAACAGAGTATCATGAAACATGGAGAAAAGTGCTTTTTAGAAAAACTTTGAAAAATTTGACTTAAAAAATTTTCGGCCCGAGTAATTCTCGATACGTACCTCCCGTATCGAGAGCTCCCGATTCCGAGCTCGTGTTGCAAAGGCCAGGGGAGGCCTGCCTTCCGAGATCGCATTACTTCGAGTCCAAAATTGTGTATCGAGGGGAAGGTGTGGACTTCGAAAAACCGAAAAAATATTTTCGGCAAATAATGAACAGAGTAGCATGAAACCTGGAGAAAAGCGGTTTTCAGAAAAAATTTGAAAAAGTTTGACCGAAAAAATATTTTCGGCTTATAATGAACAAGGTAGCATGAAACGTGGAGAAAAGTGTTTTTCAGAAAAACTTTGAAAAATTTTGACTTAGAAAATTACCCCTCGGTACACAATTTTGGACTCGAGGCTTCCCCCTGGTAATGTGATCTCGGAAGGCAGGCCTCCCCTTTGCAACACGAGCTCGGAATCGGGAGCTCTCGATACGAGAGGTACGTATCGAGAATGACTCGGGCCGAAAATTTTCTAAGTCAAAATTTTTCAAAGTTTTTCTGAAAACCACTTTTCTCCACGTTTCATGCTACCCTCTTCATTATTAGCCGAAAATATTTTTTTGGTTTTTCGGTTTATCGAAGTCTGCACCTACCCCTCGATACACAAATTTGGACTCGAGGCTTCCCCCTGGTAATGCGATCTCGGAAGGCAGGTCTCCCCTTTGCAGTGCGAGCTTGTTTCGACTGTCGAGGATGTGGGTCTCACTTCTCAGTGCCTATTACTCTCCCCTATTACTCACTCCTGCTGTAGCCTGTAGAAATAACTTTACACTAGGCTTGAGTAATTATGAGTTTGCCTGAAGTGTTCCTCTACTAACCTAGTATAAGCATCTAGTAGCCTACTATGAGCTTTCATAAGCTTGTTACGCCCCTAGTAAGCGTAAATAAACATGTTAGGATGTCCAATTTAGGTGTTAAATGGTGTTAAAGATGAAATTTCGAAGACAAAATTCATGGCGTAAAATGGAGAAAATGGAGAATTACTCATGGGTTTTTCCATTTTCTCCATAGAAAAAGTCTCCATTTTATGCCATTTTATGCCATTTTATGCCATTGGCCCCCCCCAGGAGGGGGGTGCCGGGGGGCACTTGTTAATGGGATGCTGTCTGTACCAGAAAATTTAGAGCAGAAAGTTGATCTCTCTCTCTCTCTCTCAAACACTGCACGTGACCTGGGTTTATTGAGTTATTACACATTTTATTAGCAAAGAAGTGTGAATCCCATTTAGTGTCCTAACTCGACAAAATAATGTTAACTTGTAGTTTGCAATGGTCAGTGTTAACGACTACTCCCACGCAAATATCCTGACAGTGCAGGATATTTGTAATGTCCTGAAGCTCCGTCCTAATATGCGTAATTCTCTGGAATATCGGAAATATTCTCACGAAATGAAATATTTATTATTAGTTTATATTTTATTCTATCCCAGCAACAATTTAATAACAAAAGCTAATGAAAGGTACATATTTTGAATCTCACGGAGTTATTTATTTTCAACCGTATATATCTTGCGTAGAATTTTTCGGAAGATGTAGCCATATTTATTAGAAAAGTATGATCGCTTAAATTCTTCCTCACGTTAGCTGATTATTCCTGGGACAGTCGTCTTACAATTAATCAGGATTGCTGCTGTGGATAGCTCAAATCTACATTTTCTAACAGCCTTGATCATATTCCCACAATTTACAAAACTGTTCAACGATATTCGGCTCACTCAGATGGTGTTCTACATTTCGTGCCTTGCGTGAAATCACTAAAAGTAGGGTGGCCATGAAACTCTCAGTTTGTTACCTAAAATAATAATACTGCACTAAAATTTGAGATCTGGCGATTCGTAAAGTTACGTAAGAGCATTTAGTAACATTCTGTGCACACCTGTAGCACAGTATTAACTAGCACTATTTAGTCTATTTAGTCACTAACATCTTCAACATTTAGTCACTAACATCT